AACTTGACTAAAGTACATCAGCAAATAATGTCGGTTCACCGACCCCTTTCAACGCTATTTAATTATAATCTCTCATTTTTATTTTATTTTATTAATTTATTTATTTTTACTTTGTTTTGTTTCTCACACATTGCATGTACAACATGGGCTCGACAGCTAAATAATGTTTAAGATGAAAAGATGCATCCATCACTGCTGTAAGGTATTCAAATATGCAAAAGATGCTCGAAAACCAAATAATTTGCACAAACTGGAGGATTTTTTCTGAAGAACAGCAGGCAGTTTTACTGTTCAGGACAAACAAGACACTCATAACATGTATCACAAAAAAAATAAATAAATAAATAAATAAAAACATCTATGTTATTATTTTCTAAAAAAAAAAAAGCATTTTTTTATACATTTTAATTTATTTAAAACGTTCTGTATCATTATTTTAATGTCTTGATTTTGATTTTACCTCAGTAATTCCATATCCCAGACTTTGGAAAAGCCCTGCTGTGGATAATGAACAGCAATTAACATGTCACTGCATCCAGACTTTCTGGATTCTGGAAAAGTGCAAGAACACTAGCAGATAAGCCTGTATAACTGTGTTAATTGACTTTTCATTTACAAATGTTGGAAAGGTGGATCAATATCTTTACAGGTTTAGTTTATTAAGCATTTCCGTGGCCTCCTTATCACACAACCTGTAAGGTCAATGAAGTCGCCCAGCTTTCAGGCTGTTGTTCGAATGGAGTCAATTCACCAGCACTGCTTTCTTCTGTCTGTTCTGAAGACAGTAGCTAAGAAAACAATCAGTAGCTCAAGGATTTTGCACCACTGACTTATTTCTGACATTTGGATATTTAGTGAGCTTTCACACTAGAGCTGTTTGTAGAGACACACGTTTGCTTGGTGTCAAAGCAGCTGAGTCGCACCTAAAACCAATGCTAGCATTCTACATCAGAACTGCAGAACTAAATAGCTATTGATGATGCAGAATTTGTTGACATCTGCCCAATATCTTATTAAAGAATAATTCATTTCTCCAACTGTGTTATGTAAATGTACCGTGGTTTAGACTCATTGTGAAAAGAGAGCTGTGGTCACAGCGGTGGAATCAAAATCTGCTTCGGCCCAAACAATTAAACCAAATGTGAAAACACTGTAAACATCTTCTGTGTTCATGAAACAAACCTCAGTTAAATGCTGAAATATTATAAACTCAGTGGATTGGTGTTCAATTCAGTTCCCGTTTATTTGTATAGTGCTTTTCATGAGACAAATCGTTGCAAAGCAGCTTCACAGAAAATTAAAGTTTCTACATTATATTTAGGAGTAGCTTATCAGTGGTGACTATGTCAAGGTGATGTCCATATGGCAGAAATGTACAGTAAAAATCATGCAGTTAGCTAATGACATATAATCAAACAGACGGTGAACACAATTAAGAGTATTGATTATATGTTGCAATCAAACTTATAGCAAGATTTGGACGTTTTGCAAGTTGTTTCAGGCTTGGCATCATACAAGGTCCTCTGAGGGGTTGGCATTGTCTCTTCTCAGGTGTCCGGTCATCTCAGATCTTCTTAAGAGTTGGATCCAGACTGAAGCTTGTGTAATTCCTAGTTACTTTGGGATGCCCATCCCATAGCAGAAACAGAGAAGCAAATAGAGAAAAAAAACAGTGTAGCTGCTGTTCCAACCAAGCAAAAAATGATGTGTTCAACCGAAGCAAAATAATGATAATGTGCATTTGATCAGATATAACTGCAGTACAAGACTATGAGATCAGTAATTAATTCATGTAACTACATTTATAATTACACTGTTGACCCATCCCTTACACCTTAGCCCATCCTTATACCTACCCATATCACCAAACCTGTCCCTAACCCTACCCATCTCCTACCTCAATAGCAGCAAAAGTGTTTTGTAATACAATATAAGGTAACACTTTATTTTGATGGTTCCTTTTAAACATTCTGTTGACAATAAGTAACGTTGCACCTACATGTCAACTACCTCTCATTAGAGTCTTAGGGTGCTTTCACACCTGGCCCGTTGTTTCGGAACCTGGCGCATTAACATTAGCTTTGTTGTTTTGCTAATACCTCAAAATGAACCATGTGCATGTCTGTGGGTGAGCACGTCTTCGCCATTCAAAATCAAAGCGCACTTTTTCATTTTATAATGTCGTCTTATTGCTGTTCTTCCTAGTAGGTGCATTTAAAAAAAAATTTCCCGATGATTCCTGGACTCCTGCTCAAAATGATAAATTAATATAATGACATTACAAAAAACAAAACAAAAAAAACAACAACAATAAGCCCGCGAAGCTGTTGTCGTTCCATCCTGACAGATGACAGCCCTGACAGCTCAGTGGAATCCTGGAAAATAAACCGTGGAACTTTGACCAATGAGAGAACAGTTTAAT